ACAACACCATACACACTACAAATACTATAACTCTATCATCACATACCCACTACGCCTTCTGAGGGCTATTCTTGTCGCAAGCACACACCCACACACGGTTACTACAACACCATACACTACAATACTGATTACTCTATCATCACACGCCCACTACGCCTTCTGGGGGCTATTCTTGTCGCAAGTGCACACCCACACACGGTTACTACAACACCATACATACTACAAATACTAATTACTCTATCATCACATGCCCACTACGCCTTCTGGGGGCTATTCTTGTCACAAACAGGCCACATACCTATTACACACATCTCACCACTAATAAATACAAATCACTATAAATCTATACTATAAATACATGAATAGCACAACTAACTCTGCGTACTTATACGCAACCTCACCTAAAAGCCTGAAACCCTAACGCTTACCGTCATCTGTGTGCAGGAGTGGCTATGACGACACTCCGCAGGGCGTCTCGTTCGCTCAAAGGTACGTAACAATGCAGATGACAACAACAACAACAGTACCAATGTGTAGTTATCTTATCTGTATAGATACACTTAAATGTACACACGTACTACGTAGCCAATGGATATATTGATGGCAGTATGTGGGTGTTGACATTAGTTGTATTCATGAATATTACAGGTCTTTGCCTTGTGTGCTCAAACCACTCATATCTGATATATAAATATATATATATATATATAGGGTTTATATATATATATATATGAGTATATATATATACGCAAATGTATATGTATACGTATAAATATAATCATATCGCTGATCACCCGCTCATTCAACCCTCCTTCAGGAAACAATCTAAATCCGCCAGCGCCTTGGAACGCGAAAAAGTGGACAACATGTCTCCGCCATCCACCACTTCCACTAACTCACACCCACGCAATGCCAAGAGTGTAGAAGCTCTTACAGCCAACTTAAGAAGTACCTCCAAAAGCTCAACACTGGACGGTATGTGTGTCTTTCCCAGGTGTTGTTCACGTGTGGGGGGTAGGTGTCTGTGTTTGTACATATTGAATATTGCTGATGGTGTGTGTGTGTGTATGTGGTGTGGGCTTTGTGAGTGCAATTGGTGCCGTACGTTTGTAATATTGACTGTTTGTGACCACGCCGAGGCTGCTTTAAAGTTTAGGGTTTACCAGGCTAGCTTGTTGCCCAATCAACTCCAGAAACAATACCTTCATCCACATCGTAGGCATTTATATCTCATACCTCCAACCCCCAAGACCTATAACTTAAACCTTGGCTCTCATTCCTATGGTTTTATAACTCGGACCTTCAACCCAAAACCTAAAAATTGTTCTTCTACTTATGGTTTTATAACTCATAACTTTGACCCAATCCTTGCAATCATGGTGCCACAGAGCAATCTGCTACCAGTAAATCCAGTGATATACACACGTCGGGTGCGCCGGACGGGCGCAAAGACACAAGCGCCTCTGATAACGAACAGAGAAGTACTGGTAACCATGGCAACCGCCAAGTACCAAGTTTTGCAGGGCTGGATATGAGCAAAATCAGCACACGCTCTCATAGAGCCCGCGCAGCCACCCCCGTTGCCATAGAAACGCCGCAGAAGGGAGAGGGCCGTCTAAGCCCTATACCACAGGACACAGACACACACAAACGTGCGCTTAGCAACCACAGTACAAACACCAATGCAGGCGTTGGTAGTGGTACAAATATGGATATTGCGAGTTTGAGCGGGTTCTCGGATGCTGACCAGAGTAGTGGGCTGAGTCTGGTGGGGTTGGACATGAGTAAGGTGGGAACACGGTCGCCAAGGAGACGTGCTCCGCCAGCCAATCAGAACCCGGAAGTGCCCGTAACCAAGGGCAACGGCGTATCTATAAATAGAATCTCCGTGACCAAGTCTGATCCTGGTGAATTAAACGCAACGGGTGACGGAGAAGTACGCGAAAGAGATGGCTCAAGATCACCGCCCCAACGCGCCCAATCAGATGCCAGCATTCCTGTACCTACCAGTGCTATCCACCAATCAGAATCGATTGTTGGGAGCAGAGCGAGCCAAAGAAGACTGCCGACGTCAAACTTGGCCAGGAGTGAGAGTATACAACACCAGGAAGCTCTCAACGCAACTGGAGGTGTCAATACCGGTATGTATAGCGGGATTTGATTGAGTTAGTTCATATGAATGTACTACATAGCATGTTTTGTTTAAATTTGCATTGACTCTGACACCCGAACTTTCCACTTTATATCTGTAGCCGTGTCTGTGATTACAAATATATTTGAAGGTTAATCGGTAATCTATATCTGAAGTTGTATCTGTGATTATCGATATAATTCAGGGTTAAACTGTAATTTGAATCTTAATCAGAGACATACTATCGCCGGTGCTCACTGGTCGTATCACCCCTTTGTATGCGGGGTATACATCACGGGTTTAGTTGGGTACTCCCCAGTGCACTCTTCTCTCCTATATACATA